TTTTATAGTTCACCAATAAGAGGGTTAACCAATCAGAAAGCTGAAAATATTCAATGCGACGTGTATAAAGGCAGCCATTTTGTTTTTTCTCCCAAACTATCCTCACTGCCAACCGGATATCGAAGAAATAAAGAATTACTTAACAGCCGCTACTTTCTCTGAATCTTCACTGCCAAACTCTGATATTGAATACATTACGGACTTCACTGGATTCCATATTCAGAGACTACGGCAAACATTGTCAACAGCATCTCATGACAGGTGAGAAGTTTACGATGTTTGGTATCCATTCTTTGAAAATTCTGCAATTGCCATTTGATAGCATTAATCCGGACACAGCTAATTTGTTGATAGCTGGTTTCAATCCATTGTTAAGAGTATGTCTTCTACGCCGGACATATTAGGTTGTAAATATTTTATTCCTTTGAATTTTGGCTTACGTCACCACCCCAAATATTAGTACGTCTCTTTCTGTTCACGCTCTCTCATTTTAGTCGTAACATCAACGGTTCTGTTTTCATAAATTTCTATTTTGATTTTGTCTTCAAGTTTGTTGGCTACAGTTATCAAGTTTAAACGCCATACCAGTATCATAGCTGAATGAGTTCACAGTTTGCAAAAAAGATCTTTAAACTGGTTATCATCTTTTCCGAAGAGTCTGAGGTTAAACATGTAGAAGTGATTGTTAAAGTTATTGTAATTAATTTCGTATACATAATTAGTGTTGTCAAGGTCGTGAAAAATATCAATAAGATATATACTGAAAAGTAGCGGAGAGAGAGAGAGAGAGAGAGAGAGAGAGAGAGAGAGAGAGAGAAATAATATCCCTGAAAATTACCTCAGTTTATGAAGATGCTTTCTGATTCTATCGTTTGAAAATATTTCTACAACGATGTGCTATGCTTTAAAATTTATTTTTATATCTAGTGATAGTTTCATAAATTTCCAGTTATTCTAAAAATAAAGTAAAAGCATTACGATAATCGATTCAGGCAGTGATTAATTTATTTTCTTTGATGGAATATTTTCAAGTGTCATTTCATTTATAAGTAATTATTCTTTGCGATCATATGACCCTCGTCAGCATCCTTTTTTGCCCTCGTGGAGAATATTATAATTGTCTAGATGAGAATAAACTATATAGATTTTTTTCAGATGTTAGTAATTTGCAGGTTGTGATCAAGGGTTGGGGAGTAAAAAGTGACTCCATTGGAGACTTTATCTGGTATTGCATTAAAGCTATCAATTACATTTGTTTAGACATTAATGATTTTGTGAGAAAATTCACATGTTGCAACTAGTAATGTTGAACTTTGTCATGTACAGGAGACTTCCACTTTTGAAAACTTACTAGTGCATGTTTAATATTGTTCATAAAATATCACTCCATTATTGAATTGATGATTTTTTCTTTCTTTTTTCTTTCTTTCTTCTACTACTAATGCTTCTTCTTCTTCTTCTTCTTCTTCTTATTATTATTATTATTATTATTATTATTATTATTATGAATTGTGTATTTTGATTACTATATTTGGTTTTAATTTAAGTGCAGTTTTATTAATGTTAAATTTGTTTATCTTTTGCAGTTAGAATTATCAATGGTTTTAGAAATGCACCGAAGATTCACCATTATATTCTAACGACATACCACTTCTTTAATTGAATTCGATTCTCACTGAGTGCCCTAAACATTAAACCTTGTACCACATCTAAACTACGATTAGAAAATCATTTTATTACTCCGAAGAGGTGTTATCGTTAACAAGCTTGTCTTGATTGAAAAATTACTACTGAGTATTGAGTTCAGTACATACTGGATGCTCCTGGCATTTGACTATGTACCATACTAAGCTATACTATTTGAGCCTCGTTCAAATCTCATCAAAAACATTAGAAAACGATTGCAGAATATTATAAGCATGAGAGTCCATGCTATTGATATTAATATTCGGAGAATTGTTTCATTTTTTCTACGTTTCATACAGTACGAATAATTTTGTCTTTTCCTATTTTGCATAATTCGCCTGTCAAGTTTGTTGTAATTAAACAATTGTTCGGAAAATTGATTTTTATATGTATTTTGTGCTTATTAATATATAAAAATGTTGGACTCATGAGGGCATACTGAGAAATGGATAAAATAATTCTAAATTGATGTGTGTTCGAATAATTTCGTATTAACTATATATATATATATATATATATATATATATATATATATATATATATATATATAGCAGCATGGCCCGGCGTTGCCCGTGCTTGATTCAAAAATTGTACGACTAATACAGCAATCGCTTTCACTTGACTTAAAATATTTTTGCCCTTCCTTGCCTTTAGAAGAGTTCACTTTGCCGTGCTGATGTTGTTACATGCCTTACTTCTTGCCTATCTCACACTGAAAACTTTTTATAAGCTCTATAGTAAACATTAAATCTGTTAAGAAAAAAGAACTGAACAAAATAAACACAATGCGATCAGCTTTAAAAAACCATAAAAAAACATTTGGGGGGTGCTCTGAGCTGAAACTTCACATGATGACTCCCAATGGCCTCTTCATAAATCCGCTCGGTTTTCGGTAAAAACCGACATGCGGTTCAGACGCAATCTGGGCGTATCGGTTTTTGGGTTTTATCGATATTCCGCGCTGTTTAGGGGTCCGTGGTCATGAAACTTCTAGACAACACTTCTAATAGTAGACTCTGAGAGGATGTCTAATTTGGTTGAAATGCGATCATTCCTTCTGTAAGCAGAATTTTTTCGATTATCGATTTTTTCGGAACCTGATTCCGAACACAAAAATCGGGCTCCGTCATATCCTTACGGCAGCCATTTGCAAACTTGTGTTGAAAACCGCATCGAAATCGGGTGAGAAATGCGGCCTGGGCGAGTAACAATGCCCACGACAGACACACAAACAGACAACATGAAAAAAAAAAATATATATATATATATATATATATATATATATATATATATATATATATATATATATATGTCACGCGCACACGATTGTTGACTACTAGTTGAATGTGACAACCTCCAAACATACCGCGGTGGATTAAGTGGTTCCCCACTTCAACATAGAAAAATCAGTCTTCCCGCAAGGGGATTATAGTCAATCATATATTGCGGAAAACAATATAGACACTCATCCATCGTTTATCCAATAACAAGAATCGGTCAAAATAATTTGGACACTGCTAGCGGCGCAAACGCTTCCGTTTGTCTACTGGAAGAAAGACGAGAAAATACAATTGTAATTAATGCAAGACTTTCGAGCAATTAGAGGGCAATAAAATTGTACCTCTTCAAGCCACTTTTATATAACCATTGAAATGTATACGGTATCCATTAAGATTTACTTTTAAAATTAATATCTAAATATCCTACCCCCGTCTTACAACAGAAATATATGTTTGTAAAATCTCTGGTGAACATCCATTCGTTGAAAATAATTAGTTCAACATCATCGTTTCAGTATCCTGGCCTGTCAATGCACACTTTGTCTGCCCGCCTCTTCATCTTCCCGATGTGAAGCAATTTATTTTCATTAAAAGGTAATTAAACGAAGATGGCGATTTCTTCCACATCTGAAAAAAAAATATGTCGGAGCAATAAATAAAGTTGCCACTTCCACCAAAACTTTTCTGGTTTTAACAGAATACACCAAAATATAAAGAAATATTAAAAAAAAGAAAAAAAATATCGGGAGGATATTTCGTTAATCATTTTGTCTTCTTTCTCTTAATTATTTCTCCGATTTTCTTTCTCTCTATCTCCTTCTCTGCTTATCTCTCTCTCTATTTTTATCTTTCAATTTATATGTTTCATTTTCTTTCTTTGCTTTCATGATTTACTTTCTTTTACTGTACAGTTGTTCTAGTCCTTACTTTAATTTTATGTTTGCCACAATTTGTAACTGAATCTTCTTCGTTTTCACATTATTTTGCCTTTCTTATTTCGTCTTCTTTCTCTCTTTTGACCACATTTATGTCGCTTCGCTTTCATTTGAACTTCATATGTAGTCTTCTATTTCTGTTTTTTCTTTCTCCACGTCAATAGATTTCTATTTCTTTATATCCCCCTATTTTATATATATATATATATATATATATATATATATATATATATATATATATATATATATATATATATAAAAATTGTGTTCTTCTTTCTTTCTTTTTTCTTTCTTAATCCCAATCTCTATCACTTTCTATCGTCCCATTTCTCTCTATTTCTGTATTTGCTTCTCTCTCATTATTTTTTTCTTAATTACTCCCTCTGTTACTTTCTTTCTTAATTACTCTATCTGTTACTTTCTTTCGTCTCTTTTTCTTTCTTCCTTTATTCTTTCTTATTTTCTTTCTTTTTTTTACTTTCTTAATGTCCCTCTTTCTCTGTTACTGTATTTCTTAATTACTTTCTTTTTTAAATACATTCTTTTTTAATTACTCTCTCTGTTACTTTCTTTCATCTCTTTTTCTTTCTTCCTTTTTTCTTTCCTTTTCTTTTTTCTTTCTTTCTTACTTTTTAATATCCCTTTTTCTCTGTTGCTTTCTTTCATCTCATTTGCCTTTCCTTCTTTTTTTTCCTCTCGTGACTCCTTATTTATTTCTCTTTATTATGCCTCCGTTTCTATTTGTTTAATTTTATCCTCTTCTCTCTCTATTTTGTCTCCTTTTCTTCTCTTTCTTTTCAATGTCTTTTTGTTCTTTTAATCTATTTAATTAGCGCCCACTAATTACCGTTCTCTCTTTAATTACGTTTCTTTCTTTTTCTTTGACATTTATCTTGTTTCTTTCGTTTTGTTTCTTTTCTCAAACTTTCCTTCTCTTTCCAAATATTTTTTTTCTTTTTTTCTTTCTCTTTCTAATATTTCACTTCCTTTGCCACATTCCTTCACATTAATATTCTACTCATCGCTTCTCTTTCAAATTTCTTCTCATAATTATTTCTTTCTCTAGCATTTACTTTCACACCTAATCTCTTTATTTTTCATGATTTTCTTTTTACTTGTCACTTATTTTCTCATATTTTGTTTTTTTTTTCTCTTACATTTAACATCCAAATCCTATGCTCACTTCTCTATATTTCCTTATCTTTTCTTTTGTATTTCTTCTTTTCGTCATTATCTTTGTCTTTTTTGAACTCCCCGATACAATGCTGATCTCTTTACTTCTCTTCTTGTTCTATTTCTCTTTTTCTCTCTCTCTCTTCATTGATTTAGCTATTTTTCGCTTTTGCACACGTTCTTCTAGTGACATCTATAGAAGCAAACACAAATTTTAAATTAACGAATCAATAAAATTATTCATTCGAATAAATCCAAGAAAGACAGTTTAAAACCAAAAATTATGAAGAATTTCACGCCATTTGTTGGAAAAAATGGCAGCGGTATTAGCACGAAATAGAAGCAATATGGTGACAATCCGTGTTTCCAAGAATCATGGTTTTCCTGTCGAGTTTTAGAAGACACCGGAAGTGATTGACAGAAAAGTGCTCACTGTAACCGACACATTTGCAAATTGAGTTGAGAAATAATATTTTAAATGGAAAAAAATAGGAAGGATCACTTCTCAGTCATTTGACGCATATGATGATAAAATATAGTCACTTTAAAAATCTAATTCTCTTCTGTACAGGAAAAATGGTAAAAAGATGACCATCGGAACTGAAGGAATCACGGAGCCATCCGGTTAATTTGCAAAAACATGGGAAGAGAATTTCTGAAACCCAATCAAATGTCCACGAACGATTCTGACGATATTTAAAGAAAAGTAGATCGCTTGATTTCGTCTTGGATTTCCTAATGGCGATCTGTTAACAGGATGTCTCTAAAAAGCATAAAATGGCTGACGAATCAACAGCCTATTTAGTTACGACAGTTGACCTTGCCTCGATACCTTAAGAGATATTTAAGTGGCCGTTAGACTAATCAATTGACAAGGCGTTTAATTCAGTAGGTGATCATATTATAGTACAATTAATGAGGCCATGTGACAAGAATATTTATTTGACGATTGACGTTTTTCAAGCTGGAATTTGATACAGATTCTCTCGTACTTCGGAACAGCATGAACAATCGTTGCTTTCTCTACGACAAGGGCAATTATTATTTAACCCATCAAAAATTTAAATAAAATGTACATCACTAAGAATGATGGTCATTTTAGAAGGTATGTTTATACGTGTATATATGTTTATAGACGGGTGAAAATCTGTTATTTCCAGGATATATTTTGGGTAAGATAGACAGAGGAAAACTGCGTATTTCATACTTGATATGATTGAATAGATATGTTGTGGATTCCGGGTTGAAATCCGGTACCAATAAATAACAAACACCAAGAATGAATATATGAAAATAATGTATTAACGTAATAATACAAACTGGTAAAGGAGGTTAGTAGTTCCAGGAATACGGGTTAGTAGCAAAATGTATATACAGTTTTTGTTATTGAAGTATCGCTGTATGACGTCTTACTGAGCCTACGTGCTCGCTCACTGTGACTCCTACAACGTTGTTACCTCACCCTCACTCTTCCGGTTACCTATAACCTTTTACTCTGGACTCGACTCGACTTTTCGGTCTTGCTCCCGGGTCTTCACATAGTATAAGTATACACTCGGTGAGTACATTTGTATAAAAAGGGTTGGACCCCTCAACAAAATAGTTAGTGGAAATTCCTTATAGACAAAAGTGCTACAAAATACAGTAGATTGTGCAGGCACATGATCGTGAAGATACTCGATTAATAAATAAGAACAGGTTACACGTTTGGACAACAGCAGAACAGCCAAGCAAAGATTTTACATCAATTTGTTCTACGACAATCGAACATAGAATAAACCGAAGAAACACTTCAAGGATTGTTTATAGAGTCTCTTTTTGCCTGCAATATATGAATTCAATGCTATAGTTGACGGGGAAATGGTCGATACTTGTACTGCACTAAAAATATCCGATGTACCCTGCTAGTGAATAATTTTAAAAGTAGAACATCAGAAAAAATGAAGTAATGCTACCCATATCGGACGTAGATTTCATGACTTCACTTACAATCATACAAGACTATACATTAAGCAAAATACCCTGGGTGGCACTTGGGCCTTATATTGCGAAACAACCCAAAATATACTTAGTAATAAACCGTGGTTTGGGGTTTGAAATAAGACACAGTGTACAATTCCTGAAAACAGTAAGACCTGCTGCGAATATGCAATGTATTGGACAAAAAGTAAACCTGCTGAGAATATGCAATGTGTTGGACAAACAGTAACACCTGCTGAGAATATGCAATGTGTTGGACAAAAAGTAACACCTGCTGAGAATATGCAATGTGTTGGACAAAAGGTAAGACATGCTGAGAATATGCAATGTGTTGGACAAAAAGTAAGACCTGCTGAGAATATGCAATGTTTTGGACAAAAAGTAAGACCTGCTGAGAATATGCAATGTGTTGGACACAAAGTAAGACCTGCTGATAATATGCAATGTGTTGGACAAAAGGTAAGACCTGCTGAGTATATGCAATGTGTTGGACAAAAGTTAAGACCTGCTGAGAATATGCAATGTGTTGGACAAACAGTAAGACCTGCTGAGAATATGCAATGTGTTGGACAAAAAGTAAGACATGCTGAGAATATGCAATGTTTTGGACAAAAAGTAAGACCTGCTGAGAATATGCAATGTGTTGGACACAAAGTAAGACCTGCTGAGAATATGCAATGTTTTGGACAAAAAGTAAGACCTGCTGAGAATATGCAATGTGTTGGACACAAAGTAAGACCTGCTGAGAATATGCAATGTGTTGGAAAATCGACTGGCATGCCGAAAAGAAAAGACGAATTTATTGCTACATTAATTGCGCAATTTCCATGTGACGAATGTGATAACGTATGTCTCTTCAAGGCAGGACTCGTTAGCCATCTAAAGTGTAATATTTGTATATCTTTGACACATAACCATCGGTACTACGTCTACTGTTGTGAAATCTATATGTGTGTGGGTGGTTAAATCGATAGCAACTTGTAATTAGAAATCGGAGGGCCGAGATCGAATTCCAATCGGGTTCGTTCTATTCACTTATGCTCAAATAACCTAAGAAAGGTATGACTACATCTCATTTCATATCTCTGGTTTAAATGGTAAACGTTTGCTATCCCACCAAAATCCAATAAAAAAATTGTTGCAATTTCCAAATATATTTAGGGTGTTGATAATAGGATAAAACATATCAATCAAATAATCAAACCCTTTTTGCCATTTTCACGATTTTATGACATTATTATTTATTTATAAAAATCTGTTTTTTATGATTCAAAACTAAAGAATATAGAGAATGTATGTAAAATAAAAATGCGAGGATTTTGTTTTTATATATCTAAAATATCAGGTTCTCTTCCTCTCTCTCTTTACCTATCTCTCCATTTCTCTCAAACACTCTCTCTTTATCTATATTTCTCTCTTGCTCTCTCTCTCTATCTCTCTATTCTATCCCTCTCTTTCCCTTTATCTATCTACATTTCTCTCTTACTCTCTCTCTATCTCTCTATTCTCTTCCTCTCTCTCCCTTTATCTATCTATATTTATCTTTCTATTATCTCTGTTTCTGTCTCTGTCTCTCTCTATGTACGTACATACACACACACACATACACTCAAACACACACACACACACACGCATATATATATATATATATATATATATATATATATATATATATAATTGGAAAATACTGTAAAAATCTAAGGAAAAATTGGCAGTTACATTTAGCAAAATTTGATTGTAGGAATTCTTGTTTCTTCAGGGATTTAATTACTACAGAAAAATGATTGTTTAAATTTTTTCAATTTTTCCATACGATTTTATGTACTCAGGGTCAAAATTGCCAATAAACTCTTCAAATTCATATTTTTCTCTTCAAATATTTTTGATCGCCTGAATCATTATCAAGGACTGGGTTCCGTCAGTGAAATCGACTAAATTGTTTTGTCTTCATTTGAATTGGTTAAATGTAGTTATATATCACCGGAAAAATATGTATTATATATATTTTGATATATAATGTTCACCCAATAGAGGAACCATGAACCACTAACTGTAAAGATTTACAACGTGGTTATTTATGAGCGTAAGGAATGATAGTTCTTGACCCTAGATTGAATTATAGGGATCAGTAATACCTTATGCCAGAAGACTGTTCCACTGAGCAGCTGTATTTTTCAAAAAGCTGTTCGAATTGAACTTACTTATTAATGTTGGAATAAGCAGGGAGATGAGGATGATTCACTTTTGCATTCCCGTCATGGCGGGTCCCAGTTGTAAAGCCCAGGGATGTTAGCAGCTTGCTGCAATTCATTGTACTTGGCAGGGAAGTAGCGAGAGATTGGTGAAAGCCTAACAACGTTTTGACTGTTTGAAATAAGGGTGGTAAATAATAAAACACAAGCCTACATAGACGCTTTGGAAATCTGGGCAGCTCCAACTCTGTTATGGTAGTAATACTCAGTGTTTGGTTTGATCTGGCTCATGTAAAGATATCATAGAGTAGACTGCGTCAAATACTTACTTGAGTTGTACAATGAAAACACAATTTTCTAGCTTATTTAACATTAGATCGGATATATGATTTCCGCTTGAAGTTTAAGGAGAGCTTAAGACTCAATAGCTATTCAAGTCAAGGATGCTCCTTGAGAGAACATTCATCCATTGTAATAGGTTAAACTTCAAGGTCTGCTCAGTGGTGGTAGTGTATTACTAGTTTGGATTTGGTTATATTCTGTTTTACTCTCCATTCCTTTGTTCCACTTGGACTAGGTAAGATGAGAAAGGAATTGCTACCTTCTAGTCATCAGCCAGAATCTTTTAGGGTTATCGCTAAACTATTGTATCATCCGCATAGATACTAATTATAAGAATATGCTCTTAGGCGGATCATTAATATACAGTAGAAAGAGGGTAGGGCCAAGAAGCGAACCCTGTACTACACTGGCATTGATCTTAAGAGCATTCGATGACTGGTCATTAACAACGACTTTCAGGGAATTGATAATTGAGAGAGCCATTAAAGGTATTAAATAAGCCTTGGATATATCCAGAACAATGGTCATCGTGAGGAATTTAATATCTAGTGTTTGGCTAGTTATTTTATGTCATTTAAAACATCATCTATGGATCTAGCAGGGAGAAATCCATATTGTTTATAACTCAGGCGATTGTTTCTGTAATGTTGGTGTTAAAAAGCATCTTGTTCATTAAAGATACGAAGATTGTTCGCTTGCATGCCGTTTCCAAATTTCTAGTGGGATGAAGTGCATCATGATGGCATTTCTATCACAGACGGTGCCCAACTGACCCTACTATACTGTGCAATTGACAAAATCACAAACAAAAGAAGGCGCCTGTGCAAAATTTAAAAAAAATGGATGGCAACAATTTACCCATTGCACCCTGTATATACCGGGTCTAACTGCAAAATTGTGCAATGGCAAAACTGTCCAATTGTTATATTATTATTTAAAGTGTTCTATCTTAGAAATGATTAAAGATATGAAACCGGAATTCTACGCGGTTGTTATAAAACTATTGGCTTCTACCTTGAGCAATAAGAATCTATAATTACTCTCCAAGCTTAACAGAAGAATCGTGATGAAATCGACCATAAACGAAAATGACATATTAATCATTAATTAATCATAGTTAAGGATCGCAATCTCATGAATATTTGAAATAAATTTGCCCTCTCTAACTTTCTGTCCTGGAGTATCAACTTATCGTACGGTTTCATTTTCAAGTCTTTTTTCATTGTTCTTTTTTTGGACAGTCATAACTGGAATTCTTCCTTTACGTGCTAAACATCTTTTGGATTGAGCTGGACCTTTTCTAATTGATTTATTAACTCTAAATTGAAAAGATGATCCCTTTTTTTGTTGTGACCATTTGATCCAGTTTTCCTCTCTACGGTTCACTCTTTCAAAACAAAAAAAAATATTTACTGTTCCCTTACTGGTTCTTGAATAAATTCTGGAAAATGGAGGCCAGAATATGAATTTTGGTAACATTACAGAATAATTTTTCATCTAACCATTCTTCACGTGAGAAGACATAGTGGGTTTGATACAAAACGGCTAAACCTGTTCTCTTTTTACCTGAATAACAGCTGATGAACTCAAAGGATTTTTTCACTGATTCTTACGACAAATGGTATCAAGATGGCTAAACATCATAAAATAATTTTATAATTCATACAACATTTTTATACCATGGTATAATGCTGTAATATGCAAAAAAGAATTCATAAAAACTGTTATATTAATGAAATTGAAGAAATTTGAGGAGGAAAAGTATTCGTGTAAAATTAAAATACCTCTTTAATTCTTTGTAGCATATCGCTTACTCAATTCCACAGAATTCATTAACTATCTGTAGCTTTAATCAATGATATCAATTTTCTGTCGATATTTACGAGGTGAGGTATTATATACACTATTTACATTATTCGGACTATTTTCCTCATGTTTGACACCATAATTATTACAACGTTTCGGCTGTTGTACGGTCCGGCCTTCTTCAGGCGGTTGGAATGTCGTACTTAACCCTTTATTTCGGTCACTGGAGTAGACAGTTCTAGTTCCACGTGCCATGTTTAATGGATGTCAGTTATCTCCTGTTAATTCCCCTCTCCAAGTTCTCCACTGCCTTAACTGTGTATTGAACTCACACTCTTTGGGTCTTGTCACGGGATCTAACCAACGCTTTTATTCACTGTGCCATGTGTCCTCGAATAATGTAAATAGAAATTTCAAGTTTCATTTGGTATTTTTCTTCATTCTTCTTTGCTTATTCTCTTAAAGTCCAGGATGTTTTCCGGAGGTCTTTTATTAACATGTTCAGATTCGGCTATTTTTTTTTTCTGAGAAATACAAATCACCAGCATCGCATCTAACACCGCCGACCCTGTGCAGCTTTCTATCTGACGCTCCGTTGCAGGGATACTCCTATGAGACACTTGTTTATGCTCCCCTAACCATGGCCAACTACATACCCACACGTTTTTTCTATTTTTATCCCAAATCATTTTCTACATCCCTTTCACTCGTGACGGTTTACTAACCACTCGACCAGGGCGTCTTTAATTTCAAATTTTAAATTAGTAATTAACTTTTTTTTCATCCACATTTTTACCCGCCTCATATTCCGCTAATTTTTTTCTGAGAAATGCAAACCACAAGCATCGCTTTTAAGACACTCCTACGTAGCAGCGAAATTCTCATGAGCTATTTGTTTACTTCCAGCAACATTGACCCCATGCCTAACGAATTGACAAAAACGTAAGTACTTGTATATGTACTAATCAATTATATAATTTATTCCGTGAATTCCAATAAACAACAATTACTATTCTTAAAAATTACAATACAGAGTAGGCATTCAATATCATCACTTGAGAAGACACCGGATGTGTTGAATCAAAATAGCTATTTTTGTAGTGATTTTATATCATATTCATGTTATATTTTTTTAAATAAATAATTATATATATATATATATATATATATATATATATATATATATATATATATATATATATATATCACACGCAGTCGTCTAGCGATGGCGGGTTTTTAGTAGCGGCCAACGCCTGGCATCTAGTATTACTTCTAGCGATCCCCCAGTGGTTACATTGCAAGGGGAAAACACCAACGGTCCGACAGAGGGCAACCAGTGGTAAAAGATAGTGGCATGCCATCCACTGGCGGACTGGTGGCTTGCGTCAAGTCTGTATATAATTCTCCACCAGTATTCACGGCGATTACGTTCAGGGCACCCTAGAAAAGTGAATGAGAACGCGAATATTCAAAGTGTTTCATGAAAAATGTTCATGAATGCCTATAAAATTGTAACGTAAAATATGAATTGCTGGTTAACTTTAATGCCTCAACGACAAAACTTCAGTGAAACCTCCCTCTATCCTATTAGAATGCTCAACTCCACAAGAGCACCTCTTAGCGACTGACCAGAATGTTGATATTTCTGCACAAGTTATCACCACTATAATCAAATTGTTAGTTTTGACTGCTCGGTCCTAAGAACTAAGCTGCTAGATTGTCATACGCTTTTTTTTATTTATTAGAAAAAATAAAAATCTATACAGTAATTTTTACATTCCGTTATTCCTCAAAATAATCCCATCAATTCTTTTTCAATGTAACCGTTTGGCTCGTCGCTAGCAGTGCGCAATTTCTCGACTAATCCACCAGATAAAGATCATGATCTTCCTTGGGTGTAGAGGTTGTCTTGAGTCACAGGTTCCATGTTACAATTTTGAGTGCTTTCCAGGGCCCGCTTTTCGTCACTAGTGAGAACTCGACCAAATATGGGAATGTTGTGGTTCCGAGAAACGTGAGATGTTGCTTGTTAGCATTCGACACTATGTGGGGTACTCACTTCCTGAATTCGTACACCGCTTTATGCAGTGCAGGTAAATTCACCTGGAAGCGTTCGGCAAGCTCAACGCAAATTTTGGGGCTGACTCCATCTATGGTCGCCTTCAGGCCCTCTTCTCCCAGGAAATTTGGCCAGCCACTGCGGCGTTCTCCCCAAAGTGAAATATCGCCCGACCTAAATTTTTGGCGCCATTGCCTGGCGGTGACTTCACTCACCACATTGTTGCTAAAGATTTGATATATTCGTCGACTTGATGCGGCAACGGACAAGACCGCTTTAGTCACGAAGCAGACATCTCCACACTTGCTTCGACACCGGCATGTTACTTCGACGCCGTTCGAGCTAAGATTTTTGGTGTGTGCGTAACGCAACTGCATTGTTCAAGAAAAGTAGACATTCCTACACCACCACTTTTCCTGCTCCTGAAACATTTCGGTATATACGTATACATGCAAGTATACTTTCTTGGTTACCTTACATATTGCGATGCGAAAATAAAAAAAAATAATCTTTCAAATTTGGAGGATATTTTTTTATTATTTTTCATATAATTTTAAATTATTTACAAACATTTTTATTTAATAACTTTAATTAGTTCTTAAAAATATCCATTTCATTAACATGATGAACGCTTAGTCTGCGTGAAAATTGGACAAAAAAAAACAATGTAGTTGTTGCTTTGGATTTTTATCTGTTTTTAATTTTTTTGTTTTTTTATTCTGTTGTTGTTAAATGACAGCAGTTTATTTTTGGAAGCATAAAAAGTGACAACTATTTTTCTGCTCAAGTTAACCACTGATCAGAGCTCTTTTCAAGAACAGCGGTCAGTTTAACATTGTCAGCTCTGCGATTTTGCTCTTAAGCCAGGGGTAAATTGTTGTGTCATCTGCATATATGCCTATTTGCGAACTGATGTCATGAGGAAGTTAACTGATGAAAATCAGAAACAGCATAAGCCCCAGGTGGGAGCCACGGGGGACACCCGCGTTTGTGTGAAAAGATCTGGAAGCGAGCCTACTCAATATGACCTTCATTTCGATTCGAGTTATCTGGTGCCACAACCCGAGCTTCACCGTTATTACCAATAGATTGATATACTTATTAATTGATGGTCCGTAAGTACGTCAGCGGTAGACCGTGCAAAACGGAATCTGTATTGTTTGTCAGAGAATATGTGTTGAGAGGCAAGTTGCTTAACAACTTCAGCGTTGATTAAGCCTCGAATACGTTGGAAAAAGCGAGAGGAAACTAATAAGCCGATAGTTAGAGGAAGCAGAAGTTGTCCAGAAGTTTTTAAAATAGAGCTACAGAAGAGGACTTTCAACAAGATAGAAAGCAAGAAGCAGCCAGGCAATATTTGTAGTGTTTAAAGACAACTGGTGTCAGCTCAGTAGTATATTTCTTTAGAACGACGACTAGTATCCCATCACAAATGCTTGCTATATTGGTGTGTAATTTAGAAATGATGTCCGTGGCAAGTGACGGTGTTATGTCCATATCACCTAGTAGAGCCTACATTTTAGTGGGGAAAACAGGTGTTGTACTCCAAAGGAGTCGAGTGTTTATTATTGGAAATACTATCTAGTACGTAACAGTCTTAATAGAAAGGGGAGCGGTAGAGAAAGAAAAGAGATAGCTGACTGAGTTAAATAGAGAGAGAGATGGAGACACATGTAAGAATGGTCTAGTGATTCAAGAGATAGATCTCTAGCCAACAAGAGATGTTCAAGGATATAAACTCCTAGGCCATGCAAGTGGACATTGAAATCGTTTCTAAGGAGAAGAAGGTGAGCAGGAATAAAGAATTCAGTGGAGGAGTTGGAAGAGTTAAGATTGGAGAGCTAGTATGGCCAGAGACATTTTTGAAGAGAAACGATTCCACACTGCAGATTATATTACGAATACCACGAAGATTGGAGAATGAAAGGTTAAATTGTTTTATATTGATTTGATTTAAGTTTATACCTTTGGATGTTTGTTATCACGTTGATAAGGAAATACTTACAGTAGTAGTAGCAGTCGATCATCTACTAGTGCAAACTGCAACATAGTGTGACCTTGGGGACACCCTTCTATGCGCGACGTGGCGATTCGAGTACCCCGATATTAGACTACTGTTAATCAGAGCAGCCTCTTAAGAAGCTACACAAGAGATAGGGCTCCTAAGTACCAGTCGGGAACAAGCAAAAATCTCTGAAAAATCTTTTTCGAATGGTTACTAAGCCGTAAAAAAGAATCAATAAAAGTATCAATGCAATCTAACAAAATAGTCATAAATCAATATCAGTTTAAAATCCCGGAATTCTATTTTATTTCTCTTAAGAGAAATTATGTTGAAAATGATATGTATTTCTAAATTCGTAAAACTTGTAAATTCAAAGATTAATATGGAAGACTATGATATATAAATTCTCAATATCAATTTTGAAGATGCGTATTTAAATAGCAAAACCTGTGCAAATCGTTTCACTCTTCAAAATGGACTATATCAAAATAAATAATTTTTATTTATTGATTGAATCTTATATATGTAGCAAAGAATGACAAAGACAGCCAAATGTCAGTTATAATTAAATAATTTATTATCAGTGAATCTGAAAATAATCTTTTGAAAGACGAGACACGTTTAAAGTACATATTCCATCTTGTCAATCAATTACCCAATATAGGCTAATAGAAATAATATATTACTAAAGTATTTGTATTTTTTAAACTGTTGTCCTCACCGTTATTGACATATTAACGACGTTTCCGCCGTTCGACTTTCCGACCTTCTTCAGGTGACATGTATTTGGATTTCGTACCGAAGCTAGAGAAATCAATAGAAAAGTCAATATATATGTTGGCATTTCTGAAGATTGTTTCGATGTCATTTGTGTAGATGTTATTCCCAAGTTTATCTCTTGAAATGTGATGACATATAACCTTCACATTCCTGGGTCCTCAATAAAAATCACTGAGAATCTGTTCCATTTTCATTCATATGTCAGTCACTTCGGGAAATAAATATGTAAAAAAAAACTTCAACAGATACGTCATGGAATCATTCTTCAGTAACGCCAACACACAGTATGATTAGTCAAGGTTCGGTTCAAAACAATGTAAATAATGTAAATAGTTACAAATCCTCATCTCGGAATTTGTTTAAGCATTTCAACCCAAGCAAGGCGGCGGAATGCCACAAGCATGTAAAGGGTTATAGAGAGTGAAAGTAAAAGTAAAAAGGTGTGTTTGCATAAAGGATAAAGAGAAGGACGGGAGTCAAGATCAAGGCATCAGAAGATGTCGGTTGACATTATATTTGAATATTTGAAGATTATTGTTATCAGGGAAGGAAGTAAGTGGAAGGAAGTTCCACTGTCTGGAAGGGCGAGAGAAGAAACTATTGGAGTGGAAGAGGCGGTTATATTTAATTGTTTTGACGGTGAAAGTGCAGAGGCCGAGATGTCAACCTAGTAGCACGCTTAAATTAATGTAGTCTGGGGCCCCAGTGAAAAAAGATCGTCAGAGCAGTTACCATGAAAATATTTATAGAAAAGACATTAGGATGCCGCATCACGTCTGAGAGAAAGTGACTGGAGTCGAGATGCCAGGTCAGGACCTACCACATCGTATGATTCTTGGATTTGTCGAGAACCTCGAGATGTACAGCGGGTGCACCAGAC